ACAGAAGCGGTTTTGCGCAGCGCGAAAGGCTTGGCGCAACCTCGAGGTCGGGGTTCCAATCCCTCGCTGTGCATTTCCCTTGTGTCCTTGAGCAAGGCACTTTATCTGTATTGCTTCTCTCCACCCACAGGAGTATAAAAGAGGTACCTAGTGGGGTTACTTGCTCCTGCTGCTAATTACAGCAGCAACACTTTAGCATGGAGAAAATAAAATGACTTAAGCATGTGGATCCAATGATCAGTTACAGAAGCGCTTCGTATCTGCAAAAAAAAAGCGATATAAATGACCAAATATGAATACGAATTAATTATGACAATAAAGGATTGAATTTAATACGTAATAACATATTATATGAAACTTATAAATTAATGTGGGTTATTAAAAGGCAGTACATCATAGCTCGGGTGGTCCTCGTAGACCTAGACCCCTTTGTGGTCACCAATTTCTAATTTTAGACCTATATATATACCTAAGTAATTTCAGAAATGTACAAATAGGAAGATTTAATGAATAAATGGGGAAACACTTGGTCAACGTCTGACTTAAAATAGTAAATTAGAACTAAATAATTGTTTCCACTATGCACATACGAGTGAAACACATTCTATTTCACTAAATGTATAGACATTATTGACTAGTTATAAGATAGACTAGACAACTGGAAACATTAAACTCTATTACAATTATTTTCTCCCTATTCAAGACTATTTAGGTATACGTTTGTTATTTTTTAGCTCGAAGTTCTGATGAAGATGCCATTTATTAATCGCGCCAGTAGTACTGACTTCTCAACGGTGTGTTGATCGATTTATAGGTTATTTATCCACAAAGGTTTTCCCTTCATCTATTGTTTTTTTCCATTATTTATAACTTAAAAGTAGACTAAAATTGTATTTGCTGATGCATCAGAGCGTGATCTTGTCATGACGTCATCATTACTAGATTCAGAGCAGCAACATGATATAATAGAGTCTTATTAACATTATAACTCCTTTATATATAATTTTTAAGTTTCAAATGAAGAATTAAATTTCAGGTTTTACATGTCCGATGACTCACAGGTAAAATTTAAGGTGTTAAGCACCTGTGATATACTTGACAATTTTGTCCAATAATCAGAATCTTCCGATGATAAATAGATTAAGTTGATAAAATACAAACCTGTAGTTTATTGGTTTCTTTTTCAGGCAATTTAAAATAGGAAGATAAAGGTGTTCGCATTCTAACAAAGGTCAGATATATTGTATATCATTAGTTCTTTACAGCACAGAACCTAACGAAAGTGTTTTGCGTCGCATTACATTAGGTTATCAATCTAAATATATTAAATGTTAAAGTTTTTAATAAGTGGAGGTTAATTGGTGTCTTATATGACATATAATTTTCATATTTATATTTTTAACAAAGTTGTTTTGCAGTGGTGGAGCAAGGAATTTGAAATTGGGAGGGACAGGGAGGTATTTTCGGATAGAGGGTGCAGACTCCTATCATGGTAGGGGCTAATTTACAAAATTGTATGGATATGTCACCTCTAGATCTTAATTTTTATGTTAATTGCTTTCCCCCAGTTTGTTTAAGGTTTAGTTCGTTTATAATATAAATTCTGTTAGCATCAACTTGTAAATTTCGGTATTCATTGCTGCAATTATATTGCAGTCAGTAAATCTAGTACTAATTCTAAATGTTAACTTTTATTACGGACCTAAACATTACAAGCTCATCTTTTAAATCTATATATGTATATAATATTATCTTCCCGAGATCTTCTGCATAGACAACGAAAGATCGCCGGTTCGTATTTCACACTCGCAGATTCCTCATCTTTAATGTATATATCCTTATAGCATTACGGTAAGACGGTTAAAATTTTAGCTCTTTATTATGAGAATAGAAGAATAATTGAATTACTAATTGAAAAAGTAGAAAATGAAATACTATATAATATATATATATATATATATATATATATATATATAGGCCTATATATCATAATATATATATACTTTTATTATATATACTATAACGAAGATAGTTATGCAAATATCATCTGTAGAGTCCTCAATGATAATTAAACCAGAACAAATTATAATAAAACAAAAATAAGAGGTTAAAAAGATGAAGAAATGTTAAGTCAAATATAATCGGTGTTTCCATGATCTTTGGGTGCCATCATGTATGAATCAGCAGGAAATCCACTAGGTGAAAAATAGTCAAATTTTGGCGAAAAATCAAAGGGTAGGGCTCACGCCTTTTTTTCCGGAATTGGACGATTTTTCGACCCTTTCATTTTTTACAGATCACAATAATGTTATCTGTTTGCAAATATCGCATAACATCTACTATTAAACTTAAATAATGTTAATTCTGATGATATATAATTAATTTATTATAGGCTCAATTCTGTCAATATTCACAACAATTAACGGTATAAAACGATGTTGAACAACGTTAATCAAAATATAATCGGTGTATTCATGATAGTTGGGTACCATAACGTAAGAATCTGCAGAAAAATGACTACGTGAAATCTAGTCAAATTTTGGAAAAGACACAGAGGTTTACGTTTTTTTGTCAAAATTGGACGATTTTTCGACGCTACCTTTTCCGGTTGTTTTGTGTTCTATGGATCACAATCCATGTTTGCAAATGCCGCTTAAAGCCAGGCTCAGGAGGAAAAAAGTCGTATGTTGTACAACTGATTAAAAAAAAAAAAAAAAAAAAAAAAGCATATCTGAAGACAAACTTGGTAGCGGTTAATGAGATACAGATTTTTGAATGTTTAAAAAATGAGAGAAAATGGGGCAAACCACTCTTTTTTTTTTACCAGGGGCAGATTTAGTAAGGGACATGTGCCTCCCGTTTTGAAGCTAAATTAAAAAAATTTCAATGCAAATCAGTGTTATGCGCTACTCACTTACATATTCTGAAACTGTTGTGTGCCCCCCACCCCCACCCGTTTGAAAAATTCTGGATCCGCCCTTGTCTACCTTTCCCCCAGTGTGTTTTACTACAATTGCACTTGGTAAATCAACTTATTTTGCACATTGTCAATTAACACTCCATATTTAATAAGTGCCCAGTACAGTAGGCCTACATTACCACCCCTGGTGAAGCTCTGTCCAGATTATAAGATTTTCTTTGGCAAAAAACTTTTGTACGCCCATATATAGTCATGATGTGCCCATATATAGTCATGATGTGCCTATATATGGTCTTGATGTGATGTCACAGTTTTTTGTTAAATACAATTTGATAGTTTGGACAGGCTTAAGCATATCTGAGAATGTTTGACTAAGTGAAAACGAAAGTCAGACTTTAAAACCATGGAAACAGACAGATTCACTCTTTTTATCTTGTTTATTATCGTTCATATACTATGCATGTACACTGTCTCAATGACTTATTAAAGCTTAAGTTCACCTTAAAGTGGTGCGAGTTACACTTAGTTAAACTTCTGACAGACAAAAAATGAGCTGTATATCTATGACGGTACGACACGGTGAAGAAAATCATGTCGGACCGCTGGTCGTATTTTACACTTCAATAATTCACTGATGAATTAACCGTTACAATCTATTGTAAGAAAACATTTAGAGCACGAACTGTAAAAAAGGCAGCACTGAGATAAATATGTAAAGTTGATTTCTCCACTTATTGGTTTGTAAAAAACAACAAACGGATGAGGAAAAACATCAACATAAATCAGTGAATTGGCACACAATATTCCCTAGCGGAATCTCACGTCTGGTTGAGAAGAGAAACAAGAAACTTTTATCATATTTAAGAATAAATCTTATATAATTGTACATTCAACCGTAACTATGTAGAAGGCTTCATATATTGTCACAATACTCTTAAATTATACCTAGAAAAGTTATGAGAATTTTTTAGTTGATTTTTTTCCCCATTTACTTGAAAGAATGTCAGTCTGTGGAGGCGTGAGAACATGGATAGAAGAATATAACAGTGCTATGTCTTGTCTGGTAAATTTATATAACATTTTACTCTTTTTACTGGCTTGTATAAATCACTACTTTTGTAGTGTCTCTATATATACTGATAAATTAAAAGAATTTTCAATATTTGGTTCTTTTTTTTTTTCTCATTAAGATATTACATGTCTTAAAGCTTAGTTGTTGTTAATCATTTTACCAATATACTGTACATATAAATTGGCTCAATAGCTGATAAACTTTTGTTGCATTAAGTGCCGCCCATACTATTTACTAAGATTTAGCCATATATGGGTATGGTATGACATCATAATGCCCTTAAATGGGTGTGGTACGATCACACACAATCTGTATCTTGTGTTTCATTTATTTATGATATTTAATAAATCAAATAAAATTTATTGACATCAGCATGCCCATATATGGGCATATCACAAACATTTGTGACATAAAGAGAGTGATCAGAGCTTTAAACAGTATATGTTGTTCTACAGACTTCTTGACAACTTAAATAATATTTTACTTAGTAAGATATTTAGCTTAAAGTATACAAATAGCAGCACAAGTGCAATTTTCTTATTGTTTGTTATATTTGCCTAAAAAAACACAATAAAACAAAATATTCTTTAAAATATAACCATAGCAATAATCAATAAAAATAATGATTATTAACATAATCATAAGGAATATACACAGGCCTAAAAATATTAACATTTAATTACATTATCTTGGAAGAGGTTATACATGTCTATAACAGCTTATATACATTTTATCTACAACACAAATTAATACAGTGTCTAGTTTATGTGTTTTTTGTTGAGATCATGCAGCTTAAATACAATTCAATGCACTCCCTACTTGTAGACTATCTTTGGTTAAAAAATAACTATACAACAAACTGTAACACTTACATACAAATAAAGTAAACTATATTGCAAGTAGTCATGGCAACAACATAATATTGAGCCTATAGTGTATATATCATTGGCACTTAAGTAGGATATTTTAATAGGATTTGACGTCTCCAATTTGTCAATCAATCAATATTAATGCGGCGATAAAAAATACAGGTCAATGAAGCTAAAGAAAATTAGGTAAGATATCGTGTGCCATCATTTTAAAGTAAATATACAGTCTTCCATATTTCAAGTGCCATGTAACCCCATTAAAACATCTAATTACATCATCAAAAAACTGTATAAAAATTGTCCTCAATGTTATAAAACTCAATGTTTAACTGTTGCTACTACACTGAGTAATATATATATTTTGTTTATAACAGAAATGACTAAACTCACATCACAATGTATTAAAACACAGAAAATTACAATAACATTGGATAACTATAGTGGATAACTATAATATCATACTTATAAATAATGTCATGTGTATATATACATGGGTTATTTTGTCAGTTTCGTTTTTCAATTTAACTAGCAAAAAGGAAGTAATTAACCCCATTCCAATGTACACTTGTTTGACCTCTAACTTTTATCAGTCAGGTGTAACAAACTACAGGGCTGTATGTTGCAAGGCTAACACCCGATTACCATAGCACCAAATATAATATCCAACATCATACGGCCTTCATGTGATGCAATAATAAGAATCAACTCAACTGTCATCGTCATATCGCTTCTTCCGTATTCTTTGGCGGCTCACTGTAAATAATAAAGAATGTGTTGGGTCAGATGAAGATTCATGTAAAGAATTAAAAAATAAATGGAAAAAGACAAACAAAAAAATTTACATTACTCGTATTTATTTATTATACTGGGTGTCCTGTTATTTAAAAATTTCAATTAATATTCTTTAGTATGAATGCATTCTATCAACTGAAATTGAAACTTCTATACATAGGCACGTGTTCAGCACATTTCAAACAATCACTACAGTACAATTAAAGAATTTGAGGAGAGTAAAAATTCAAAACCCTCATCACCGCACCACCTCAAAATCATGAAGGTGCATTTATCAAAGAAAAAAAGCCCTTCCTCATCAAACTTTGTACTGAGTTAGCTTTTCACTTTCTTTGTCCTTATTCATGATCTTCTTGATATCTTTCAGTTCAATGAATTTATTTACGTAGCAGACCCCTTCCTTTTTAATTTCATTTAGTATTTACAAGCAAAATGTATTAAGGGAAAAAAAATAAAAGAAACAAAATATTTTGAAATGTGAATGTGTGTAACTGTATTTCTAAGCTTTTTAACATATTCAGATGGATTCTGATATTCCCAATCTTAAAAGCATGGTTGTTTACAGTATATGAAATTTCTTTAGAATATTTGTTAAAACACAATTTTATATTTTTTTAAAACTCAGCATAACAAGTTGTCCAGAAGGCATCGATCATTATACATACCTGTTTGTAGGACTTTCTGGAAACATGTGAGGAGTTGCTACTAGCAACAGAGGAACTACTGGATACGGAGTCATCACCACGACGGTTACTGCCAAACATGCTCTCATCTGAGCTGCTCTTGGTCAGTGAAGCTCCACCAGAGTTGGACTGTTGGTTTGGATGGCATTTAACCAGACTTGGGAAGTCTGAAATCTCAGCAACGCTCTCGTAGTGCGTCTCCAGCATGAGGGAACTGATCACGGAACTATTATTGGTTGTGCTGGATCCGCTGCTTCCGTTGGACATCACGGAGAATGGTCGCTGTCTAGATACATGGTCGAATGAAGCAACTGAGATGGAATTTCTTGTACGACTCCCCCGGTTTTTAAATTCGATTGCACGGTCATTTATCTGGTCTTCGTTTGGTTTAATATCAATGCAAGGTTTGCTACCGATTCCCATGTAGGACAATTCAGAAAGACGGGATTCTAAAGTGAATAAACAGAAAAAGGAGAACATTATTGACTGCTCTGTTTCAAGTCTATACTTGATTATACCATGTGACTACATATTTAGTGTTAGTATCTGTTTATAAGACACTCATACTGCCGTTGAAGCAAGTTTAAATCACTCTTGTAAAAAGCTTTCCTCTAAAAAATAATATTTTCCTTAGCTACAAGCCTGCTTTCAAATTCTATAAAACAAAACACATAAAATAATATGTGTATAATTATAAGAATTGAAACAACATAAAAAAATAATTTTATAAAAACAGGAAGTAGTTGTTATACCAAGGCTTGACATGTTCCCACCTAACAGCATCCCTAAGGTGGAAACTAAAGTCGGTTTTATTCGATGTCTGCAGATGAAGTCAGATAAAAGGTAATCTTACTTTAACTTTGACTATTGTATAACAGATAAGCTGTTACATTAACTTATACTGACTGAATCATGTATCGCTGCTGCTCAGAGTAAAATCAAATTGTCATAATTTTGATGACTAATATTTTATTGAGTGTGAAAGAAAAAAATTAATTCCAGTTTGGCTTAATAAATAACAGCAGGGAACTTTTCGAAGGCGCTTAAAAGCGTACAATTCAGCGATTGTTAATTTTTAACTTCTAAGAAAGTTCACAAAAAGTTTTAAACAGTTAGCATAGTAGCTATATATCTTCATTTCATTCCAGCTGATTTCATTATGAATCAATTATAGTTAAAACATTTTTACATAAGATTTCTTCCAGACTGTTCTCCAATGAGGTCAAAAATGCAAGGTCAATAGTTTTGACATGAATATATGTTGTTAAATTGTGCTAGGCCCTATTTGCTGAGATGTATATATATATATACAGTACACATGCTACTTCACTAGGGCTCTGGGACTTAGTGATTGTTTATGAGGGTGATTAATTCTGAGTGACTCAGCAAAGGAAACTGTTATTATGTCCAATGAAAAATGTTTCTGAACTGTTGCGAAAAAAGCACCCAGACTGATTCAATGTCACAATGCACCGGAGACAGGGACTGACCAACTACGAGACCTACATAATCACAGCCATTTGAAATGTACAAAGCATTGTCAGTTCAAATATATAATATGTTCTACATTTGGATTAATTTGTAACTTCAGAAATGGTTGAGAATTTATAAATTTGACACACCAATTCTATTTAAGAGATAAAACATTTTATTCAATTTATGATTTATAGCCTATATTCATAATAATAAAAGTATCTGTGCGACCTTGGCAGTGAAATAAGGTCAGCAAGATTGAACAGATAACCTATATTGTGCAAATATATATATAGGCGTGTATTTATAAAATACCAATGAACTAGATTAATCAGAAATTAAATTTAAATTAAAATAACCATATGTTATGTTAAAATGCCTTACTTTTTGCAATCTACTCCTTGCAAACTTCTGTAACTAAATGAATCGCTTTACTAGTATATATGCCAAAAATTAGTCTTGCAAACAAATCTTGGAACACATAAAATTTCTCACTCACAAGATCTTCCTCAGGTCCTCTGATACACCACCCACTTCCCTTAAACATCCTGGACCCAATCAATCACTTTATTGTCTTAAATTAACCTTTATTGAGCATAAATCAGATAAGGAACCTGCCAACTAAAAATACTTTGGGAAGAACACAAGGTGCACGATGTTTTCAAGTGTTCCCTAAATTAGAATTGAAAATAATGACGAGAGCCATGGCTGTCAGATGGCGCAGACAATCTAGCGAATCCCAGAGGAACAGACACGCAAATACTATTATACAGAACCCATCAGAAATAATGTAACATAATCAAATTTATTAAAACGCGGACCAGCATCGTGGAAATGGAAACTTGTTTGAGAAACATAAAATAAACAGGAAAGGAAACACACAAGAGATGATGCAGGAAGCGAGAAAAAAAAAACACATTTATGAATGCAACATGCGTCATAAAAGGCAATTTTACTATTTTTATTTGAGCCACATAGTGAGCTGACGTTCGAAAAACTGTCAAGCAGTTTTAATTCTATACCCCCTTCTGCGAGCGTATGACAGGTATTAAGTTTTAAATTGGATCAAGCCTTTTAAATGAAATTTGTATCGGTGTCAAGTTTTATTGAAACAGGAATTGAAAAATGGATGGGATATCAATCATTTAAAAAATATTAAGACCTCGCAACCAGAGATATTGACGATAAAATGATGAGAGAGAAAGCAACAACACAAACAAACTTACCTTTGCTCTTCATTGCTTGTCTCCATAGCAATTGTGTGATCTCGTTTACCCAATCTTTTTTCACGATAATCGAGGGCGCATGCAGAGTATAACGTTTGTCTCGGTGTTTCATTCTTCTAAACCAAATCTCAAATTTAAGTCCGCTTTCACCAACATTTTCTGTAATTCCAATATCAGTAGTCTGCAAAATGCAAAAATGTTAACATTACATTAGTTAATGGAAGAAAAAGGTATGACATAATCTACCTTTGTTAATATAAATTATTGAAGAAGATTAAATATTATACAGATATGGATAAATTATATATTATTATTATCACAATTAAAGAAAGTTAATCACCATATTAATAATATTTTATAATAATATAATATACAAGTCAATTTCATTTATATTTTGATTTACTACATAATAAACAAATATAAAAAATATATAACAAAACAAAAACTATAACCTTACATTTAAACATTTTCAGAGTTATTGTGTATACATTAAATATCATATTTTTCCAATGTAGTTTGATTATATTTTCTGAATTTCTCTTTTAATGGTGATTTAGTAAACTTTTTCTGTAACAACATTAAATTAGAAACACACATTACAACAGTTGTTATGGATATTTGATTTGTATTTCCTGCTCCTGTCAGTTGCTAGAAGGAAGCTACTATAAGTTTGTTACATTGGTGTACTGGTTAGTGCAAAACTACGTGAAAAAGTGTCTCAAGGGGGAAAATCCGGGGCAGTACACAACCCCCACACAGGGACACAGGGACCACTTGCTGGCAATGAGATATTAGTTTTATTATATTTTAATTTCCACTGACAGCAGAATTCTTATATTAACTTATAGTTTAGTTATGATAACAGTACAGAGAATGCAATGTATTTAAAAACATAATGATTGTAATAGTGTTTTCTCCGTATCAAATTTAATACTAATAAATAAGCCCACCTTTGTTTAATAAATGATTGAGTACATTTCATAAAAAATTCATAATTTTACAATGGTAGCTAGGCCTAACCATTGATTGTCTATGTTGGGGTATCTTTGTGGGTTCTACACCAGACTCTCTGTGGGGCAAAGGTTATACTGTACCTACAGTCTGTAAACTTTTGATCATAAACCCACTATTGACCTTGTATTTTCTGGTCCCAGGTTATAAGCCCAACCTTAAACACAATCTAATTTTTTGTTCAAGAGAAGGGCGCGGGGGCTCTGGCAATATCTTGCTGAGAAGACCCACTATTGTTTGTATTTTCCGGTGTTCGGGTATGAGCCCAACTTCTTGCAATCACCAAGTGACCTATGGCAATTTATCTGGCAAAGAAAGGTTTACAGGGGTTTTTCTCAATCTATGGTCAGTTCCTAATTATTATTTGAGTGTTCCTTTATTGACAGGAGCAAATATGGGTGACACCTCAGCTTTTAGATGAGAACGTGTTTGCCCAATTGTCAATAAAAATGTGTACATGTGTAGCGTGAGTCAATTATGAGCACCTATAACGTATGTAAAATGTCAAGACGATTGCATGCATGCACGTTCGCAAATAGGACAATTTTCTCAAAGGGGGGTACAATCCCATATGTATTTTATGAATGTCTAAATTGGAATGTTTTTGTGCTAGTTTACAAATGTTACACACTTCTCAATGATCGTAATTTTGTATGTAGGGGTATGGCTTGTAAATCGGGAATGTTTCTGAAGCATCGTAACACTTATTTTTTCAAAGAGCAAATATTCTTAGCTCAACAGTACCTTGAGGCTTGACTTGTATTGGTAGAAATCATGTCCTTTCCCAGCTTGTCGTGTTTTGGTGAAAACAACCGTGTCCTCAAAGAGAAAGATGTGGCGCCAACACTTCTTCTTGCCTCGGTAAACGAGGAATTCTTCTTGACGAATTAACTGACCTTGTTCATGCAAAGTTATCTGCGAAAAAGAATAATCAGTATAGCACTTTAGTTCAGAGGTTAAATTATTTAAACATATGAGAATTAGGTTTTTGTTATTTATTTTATCATATTATTTAAATTTTTTAATAAACAAATTCCTGCATTTAGTTGATGTTGTAGAATTTACAGTGAAACTGGATGAAAGTAAAATACAATTTTTTGCAATTAAATGGGTATAAAAGAACTTTCAGAAATTATATTACAGACTGGCGTTTGTTAACGACCAATCAATTATTATGCACATGTTGTTCACTCATTAGAGCAGTTACCAAGGGAACGGTCAGCTGAAAACAGGAAATCGTTGCTTCCTTGGCAGCGATCTTAAGAGGGCCTACGCTTTGACGCGTCATCTCCCGTGAGAGACGCGCTTACTGGATGGGCGCAAACAGCTGCACTTGCGATAAGCATCAAGTTTATCTCTGGAGATAAGAATCACCGTTATCTTATTAATATCTTCGGCTTTTGGTGAAACCTGTTGATGGTATCACGCTGTGTATGGACCCTGGAGTAAAATCAGGATTGACGGCAATGAAGGGCCTCAACTCATGTTGCTGCTGAGTCATTAATTTACTTCTTTTATTGTTTGACATAATCAATCAGCTGCAAGAACTGTCGTAATGTTAATTCTTTGCTTTGAACATACCAACTCCTTAGGGACATGCTTCATTGCACAAACAATGCACAAGCCCTTACAAGCTACTTGGATTTCAAACAAATTTTCAAATATAAATCGAGATTGCTCGCTAGATGAAAGGGGTTCTTATCCAATCAGATGTCCTTCGCATGTCTCCAAATATGTCATTGCCGCTCCGCTATGCGCATTATACGCTCAACTTTCACAATTCAACAATTTAAGATCAAAGGTTGAACCGACTACTTACATCTGAATCTCTGATTGCGTCCATTGCTAGCAAATCGTTGCCATGACGAAGCTGAAATTTCACCATTAATTCCGTGTTCTGCGATAAACAAAGACATCAAAATTATTTGAAAATAAGAATAACTGAATAAAACCCAGTCAGTATTATCCTTCTTAAATGCATTATTCATTATGAATTACTAATTTATTTGCTAATATTCAAGAAAAACAGCACAGAATATCAACATCGTTCTTTAAAATTGAACAAATAAAGTTTGAAATTTTGGATAAAGTTTGTTTTGTACTTTATTGTATGTTTTGTGTGAAAGTTTTTCAGTGGGAAAGGAACGTGGGGAAGGAGTGGGCACAATTTGTTTCCTTAGATATGCTACTGGTTAAACACAATAATTAATATTCTAATGATTCTTATAAATTTACTTGAGAATGAAATTTAAAAGTAAAATTAAATAATTGAATTCCTGAAAATTAATTAAATTGAGAACTAAAACAAGGAAAAAATGTTCTTTTCGAATTAACACATGCATCTGTTCATACACAGTATATGGCATAGATTTTTAAATTTGCTTATAACAAACTGAACAATTTTTATAATATCATGTTTGTAAATATACAAAAACTTGGTTCATTTGAATCTGTGTTCCATTGAAGTTGATGACTTATTTGCTCCTTTTCAATGAGCTATTCAAAGCTTTAATTGCAGTTTTGGCAGGCAGCCTTTTAACATGTGTTGAATCATTATTAATTTTGTTATTATTAGCTCTCTATAAATAATTGTTAAGAGGGAGTGAGATGATACAGTCTTAATCATTAAATGTTCTCATCACTGATTGGATCAGAGGCTTTTAGTAGCAAAGTACTATTAGTTACTGCCAACATGTCCAGAAAAATACAACGCTACTGATCTGTCTTGTGTATTATCTACCTTGAGGTACGTGAGTAATTCTTGATCTTTGTCCCCACATTCCTTGATTAAATCCCGTAGTAACAGTGCGTACTTCCCCATACGCTGCACCGGCTTTAGTAGATAACTCGCAACGTCCATCTTATCACCTAATTCAAGTTGTTTTGACTATAAACAAACAAAAAATAGATCTTATGGATTATTAAAGTGATATGCAATTTTTTATTAAGTTGGTAAATGTTTTCTCACAGCTGATTTTCTAAATAATAGAGGGCAGCAGATAGTATAATCAACAAATGAGGGCAGCAAACACATAAATATGAAAGTCAGAGTATATCATGATTCAAAGTTCCAGGGATATTCATGTGGTGCTATAAATAAATATCCAGGGACATTTATTTATAGCTCTACAAACATAATTATTATTAGTTCAGTCCAAAAATCTTAGCAAATATTTATTAACAACTGTTATTTATGATAAAAATATTCATAATGATGGAGTGAAACATGTTCGTTCGTTCGTATGAACCATAATTGATTATAGTTGCTGTTGTTAATAAACTGGAACAGTCGTAGCAGGGTCACCGATGAGCAGGTTAACAGCATGACCTTCACATTTATACTCCTGGGTGAAGAGAGGTAACATAAGTGGAGTGTCTTGCCCAAGGGCACAAGCATTATGACGAGTGTCGGTCTCGAACTCCCAATCAGTCCGATAAGTCCAACACCTTACACGCTGCACCGCACGCTACCACAACATGTGATAGATAGAGCAAACATTCCATGACCATCTAACATGGTAATGAAATTTTACACAATAACAAACAATTTAATTTATACATATTTATTGTAAAGTTGCGGGTATTTATTTACCCTGGTAAAATTGTGAGTTCTTTTTGTGCATTTTTGTTTTTGAGAAAATATTGTGATTTTCATAAGAAAGTTCATATGTATTGGTCACAATTTAATAAAATCACTGAAAATTATGTTTGAATCATAAAATATATTTACAGTGAAATATTGTGATTTTATTTTGGTGAATTGGACAATTGAATCTTCATATCTTTTTTTATTTCATTCATTATATACTTTAAAGTTTTTATGACATTTCAAGACAGATTATTCATCATCTACATTTTTGACAATAACCAACATATTTAAATATGTTTAATTTAAATAATCTGCATACACACCTTGAAGAAATAACCATACTCTGCTAGCAACTCATCTGAGCGTGGCTTGTTTTTGTTGTACAGGGCATATAATCCAAAATCCTTGGTCTGAAAGATGTAAAAAGGAAACCATTCCAAGTTTAGATTAATAAACCAACAATTACATCAATAAAAAAAATAAAAGACAAAATTTAAAATTAGAAACATTTGTTTGTGAGTCAACGTCCTCTCAGATTTAAAACAAGTGAGAAACCATAATTTGATTTTTAAAGTATAATTACTAATGTTAAAAATAACATTTTTCATATTTGAAAAAATGCAGAAAATGTATGACAGTGGGTCCAGGTTACACATCATTGACCTTGCTACATATCAAAAAGAATGACAAGGGGATAATCGCCAACACTGATGTGTTTATCTTTAGAATTCCTGGTCAGTTGCATAAAAAAAATACAGTGCAGCATATAAACAGAGATTTATAAACAATATCACTATCATAGTTGCTATATTCTACTTGGATGTGTAGCTTGGTGGTTAAGATGCTTGCCTTCTAATCCCTGGGTCCTGGGTTCAATTCCTGTGACAGTACAGGGTTTCTCCTTATGACTAAAAACACACTTCCACACCCTAAGCCTTGCAACGATTTAGTTCATAGAGTATTACTTGATTTCATATATTATTTAAGAGGGCCCTAAATATCAGCTGCAAGCTGGAAGGGTCACCCTCTATAGGAAGGAAAAATGGGTCAGAATTCAATATGTTAGCCCATAAGCTATAATTACATATTTAGAGTTTGTTTTAATATTATTAATTGTAACTGGCTTTTAACAAGCCATTCCACTTTCTATCAGCACATAATTTCATGCACTAATTACATTCTTTATTGCCAATCAAAACACTCACTAACGTATTTACCAGAACCAGCTTATATAGCTATTAAAGGTATGCCACTCAACTACTGTATACAATATTGTCTAGAATTATTGTACTTTTATCAAAATTCCAATCTTATAGTTAACTCTGTGAGAACCTTTTGAACTCATTAGAGTACTTAGAGAAGTAATTTAAAAATTATCTTAATTCAATTGAGCATGTGTTAAATAACTTTAGGTTAGTTTGACAAAAGGTAAACTTATTTCCAATCAGTTTGTTGAAGGTTAAAATCAGCACATCTATCCTTAACATCTTGTAATTCATCCTAATGTCAGTTTGTTCGTTAGTGTAATGGGTGATATGGGTAACCATTTAAGTTATGTGCCAAATGGAATGAAGAGGAGAGGTTAGGTAAGGTTCAAAATGTTAAGTGATGGCTCTAGGGAGGAAAGATACCCAACAGGAGTAAACATATGTCCAGGTGCTAGCAACCTGGCCAATTTTGGGTCATTCATAACAACACAATTTAATTATGCCTAAAGATATAAAACAATTAAAAATTCAATTAAAAAAAAAAAACAACTCAAAAAAAAAAAAAAAAAAAATTTAAAATGGTAATTTTATGATGATGATGATGTTCAACCACAAAAGAGAGAGAAAAAAAATAAAACACAAATTTGTTTTGGTCAAATGAGTTAATGGTCAATGGGAGACTGGAACTTTCTGAATCCTCTTATTTCCTCTCCACAGCACCACCACTGTGAAACCCATCGACTATTAGATTGAAGGTAAAATTACTCTTACTAGCGTGCAACAACTTACATGGCGTTCAAAACACTGGCACAATTCCATGGGTGCGTCTTCGCAGTTGAGCAAATCGTTCAGGAATGAATGTTGATGGAAATCGTATATCTTCTCAATGTTTCCAAACACCATGGTTCTTTGACCTCGCAGGCCTTGCGGAACATCATCACGGTCCATTTCAGGAAAATAATTCTATAAGCAGAGGACGACATATTTTTTACAGAAATAAACATAAAAATCAAAGTTATCATTATCATCATATCACAGATATCATTTTCTAATACATAAATAAAATTTAAACTAATATATTTATTATACAATTTTAATTAATATATATTATTTCTATAATAGTACTATATATTTGTTTGTTCTGTATCGTAATGCATCTTTTGGCTCCATGGATCTATTCCTACACAGAAAAAAATGACAATATTGTAGGTTGAAAATAATAATTATTAATTATTTTAATAGTGAATTATTCTTACATGTTCAAAAAGATTTATATATTATGATCTTTCTAATAAAGAAAATGTTAATACATGTTTGCTTCGATTCCAATGACAACAAGAGATAGCAAAACCCACTTTTATCCATTCCAATAAACTTTAGAAACCTCTATATCAATAGCTTGACCCGTTAACATAAGATTTTCAACTCCCTAGCAAGAGTTTATCAGTAGACAGAGTGTTTTACAGACACGATCGATGTACCTGCATACCACTCATCACTGATTAAAAATACCTTCCTCCACTTCAAGTTGTAATGATCACACTTAATATAAAAAAAAATAATGCCTTGATTTTTATCAGTAAATGTCTATGTTTAACCTCTGTCTGGCTCAACTGAAGTTTTCATTAGCCGATATATATTTACCAAGCACTGGTCTTATCTCTTTGAATGTAGTCTGTCTACCGATTATCATTTTCGGAAAGTAATTGCTACCTTGTAGAGCAAATACATTAATAAACTTTGGATTTATTCAATGTAAACACAAAGGATAGCCCACGAAAGTCTAGAAGAAGACTTACTGTATTTCCAGTGGGGTCCTTCTGATTGGGTGATTGGACAGTACACCGGGAGACAGTCCCCTACTCTTTTCTGAAGAGTGTACTGCGTTCTTTAACGTGCACATGGGCTATCAATGCACACAGGACCAACGGCTTAAACGTCTCATCTGAAAGACGGTGCGCTATTGTAACTTGTATTTCAGCCCTCCAGCTGAAATACAAGGAAAGGCAGCGATGGGAACTGAACCGGGGACCTAGAGATCTCCACGGTTCAGCACATACAGAGTAGCTACCACCAGATTAGCCTACTGAGCTAAGCTGCTCTCTTTAAATTGGATTGTATATTAATTGGTGTGAACCCCAAGGAAAACCCTACAAAATCTGAAGACTTATTTCCAGTGGGGTCCTTCTGGTGGTGACTGGGTAGCACACCGGGAGATAATCCTCTACCCTTTACTGAAGAGTGTACCGTGTTCTTTAACATGCACATGGACCGCAATGCACACAGGACTATTGGCGTCCCTTCTGAAATGTGGTGCACTTTATAATACTTGCATTTGAGCCCTCTAAGTTTAAGAGTATACTGTAAACACCATGGCTACCACCAGGTTAGCCAACTGCGCTAAGCACCTTACCTGTATGATGTACCGTAGCGCCCTCACGTAGTCCTCCTCTGTCTGGATGATCTCGTCAATGATCATTAGCATCTTCTTACGATCCTGAAAGTCGGTGTCACTAAGCTGTGATTTTAATCGTACTGATTTCAGAGGGCTTTCTACTATTGAGTTCCTGAGATGGCGGTTGGCTGAATGTGGCAGCCATTGCTGTTCCTAAAAAGAACAAGATACATGATTGGTCAATAAATGGTCAAAAACAATAAATAAAAACGGACATTATTTTTTGTTATAAAATACAATGAATGGAAAAGGAAAGGACCATTATATATATTAACATTTCAGCATTTACTAAAATACATTTTCTTTCTTTTATTGTTCATTATTATTTTTTACATTTATTGTTTTTTTTCTTCTTTAAAGCTAGGTGCCTATCCTCCCATTAGTGCTGCACATTCCATACGAAATTATACAATAATGTTACAAGATGAATAAACATACTGTACAGTTAGGTAATGTATTACTTGGTCCAGTCTAAAATGCTTGAAATGATATATTGGTATACATATTAATTATAACACAATAAGTATGAACATATATACTACATAAAAATTTCTAAGATAACCTACGGGTGAATTTGAACCATCCTCCTCCTCTTCTTCTACCTCTGCAATTCGATCACTACCCTCCTTCGATGAACTAGATTCTGTCCCAACTGCTTGTACTGCAAGCTTCTGACTTCTAGAATCTTCCGATTTAGCCGCTTCAATTTCATCCTCTGTCTCCTTTTCAACGTAACCTTCGTCGACTTTATCATCACCAACTGAAAGAGTTTCACATTTTTCTTCTTCGATTGTTTCTCCTGACATTGAACAATTAGTAATTTCATTCACTGTTTTATTAATTACCTCATCTGTTCTTTCTTGGTTTATATTTAAAGTCCTATCATTATTCTTATCACCTAATGATATACCTGAGTCTTCCGACACATTGCTATGAAATGAGTCTCTGTGTTTCGGAGGAGTTGCACTAGGTTTTATTTGAGTCCGCCTAAATAATTCTCCATCGCTATTAGTACTAGAAGATGATTCCGACTGTTCCGAGTTCTTAGTAAACCGTACCATTTTCTCATTTGGAGTACTTTCTTGCCGTTGTGTCCTTGTTAATGCATATTTTTCATTTTCTTTTAATTTTAATTTTTCCTTAGCCTCCTGAAGATGTAATAATTTTTTATGAATTAAGGAATTTGATTCTCCGCATCGTTTTTCTGCGAACTCACACTGTTGTAGACATTTCTGTTTGCGTAGACGTTTAGAAAGTTCTCGCATTCTTTCAAATTGTTCCTCTGTGATCGGTGGGTGACTCTCCAAGTAATCATCAATTTTTTTCTCCTGTCCAATACATTTTTCACATGAATTAAGGTCTTCGATTCCAAGCATAGCAACAAATTTCATACCTCCAAGGGCCCATTCATAAGACTGGAAAAACAAGGAAAGAAAATGCATATATTACAGTACTGCAGTACATATCTATATCAATAGGAATGATATTCATTTATCATTATCATTTATAAATATTCCAAAAACAAAGTACAGAATAACAAATGCATCATATAATAGTGTTGGCATACTATCAAATTTCCACTGTATATGAAAGATGTAAGAAACTCTCACAAAGAATGAAGGTGCCTTGAGAAAATGATTTATTTACAAGAGCTTAAGGGAAAAACAAATTTACCTGTGATTACAGAAGGATACTTAAATACATAAAAATAGTGATAATAAAATTCTTAACACCCCGCAATTTACAAAAGGATAAAGTAAACACATAATATGGTACTGTACATACAGTATAGGCTTATTTGAGAAACTATTACATTATTATAAAGTTTTATTTCTATATTTAGTGCTACCAACTAACCACTTCATATTATTTTTCTCATCACTAGAAATAGTAATAATTCTACACAATATGAGCATAAATCCATATATGGTACTTGAACATCATTCTTCAGAATGACAGTTACATACTATGAAATTCCAAGTAGACAGAAGAAAATATGCCTGCATAATACGCTGACATTTTAACATAACTTCACATACTGACTGTAGCCCATCAATCAACTTACAGTGGCGTATGCCCTCTATCCTCCACTGGATTACCCCACCTAGGGGTATGACATAAATCTTACACTTGCTAGACATACTAGAGGAGTAGGCAAGACCTGAACTTTAAACAACTCTATAATCGCACAGGTATTCCAGGTATGAGCTTACCTGTTACCCAGGTGTTTTGTATCTAAACCAAAGGGAATAACTGGTATTATTAATCTCATCTACTCACACCAACCCTTAAACTTTCTTTAAATGTTATTCTAACTTCTCTTTTATTTGTTATTCTACTTAGTGACCAGGTCAGTAAAATATTCCCCTACAATTTTGGTTTGGATGGCCATGGACTTAAAACAGGATACCTACCACCAGTAGAAATGGATTAAAAAATATAAAAGAAACCCAGTAAAAAAGACCAATCCCACTTTTATAATATTATTCAGAAATTGTTATGGAGAAACACCAGAATTTACCTGCAATATACAGTACAGTAGTGTGATTGAGATAAATATTTTCTTATATAAAAACATACTCTCGTCATCGGAGTTCAAACCAAAAGATCCCTTGATTACCATTTGACTGCTCTACCAACCATGAAGCCTGGCTAGTGTTATCCTTAAACTATAATTATATTTGAAATTTTAAAATCTAAAGCACCAACAAAAGCTATTCAAATTAATTTTATTTAATTTTATATAATTGCACTCAAGTTCAATATTGTTTTACAGATATTAAAATGAATTTGATTTATTAATCATCGCATACTACAAAAAAGAAATCACTGATAAAAAAAAATTTTCATCTGAATATTTAATAAAAATAAGAGGAATTTAACTAATGTCTTTGTGTTTTCTGCCAGTGGTCTATGTTTAAAAATGTGTCCTATGCTCTTAAAGTATTCCTACCTTTGAGGCACCAGCTGGCAAATTCCTACCTCTACCTCACCTAACACCTTATCTTTGATCTTACCTCCATTATTTACCACTGTCAAGTGCAGAGACCATAATTTATTTATTTTCTCACAATCCACTAATCCTCTTTCAAAGATTAACGAAACAAAGCTAAAATTGAATTAAATGGGCCTGACCCGGCACTTTACTTAAGAGAGGGTTGGCAGGGTATGAAAAGGCCTGGAGGTGAATCAAAGGGCCTGTCCAAGCTTGCAAAACAAATTTCAACATACTTGTGACAATTAAACCAATAAAAAAGTAGAACGAAACAAACAGCTTTGTATGGTATTAAGACTAAATACATTCTAAATCTAAATGGATAAAATCACATGCTATCTGGCTCAAACTCAGTGATGAAGATATCTCAATAATCTGCCGAACCTTCTTTTGTTAAAATGATCTCTTGGAAATTCTCAAAAGACATTCATTTAATTACACTCAACAGAAAACAGTCAAATGATGAAAAATGAATCGACAGACCATTAATATTCTCATACCTCTAGAATAATATTATTTAAATATAATGTTTCCCATAGTTTCCATCTCTTCATCTCTATAGAGTAATAATTTTATATCAAACTGCTATTAAATCACTAAGTGACAGATATCAACATTTGAACAAACTGATATTATACTTTATTATGTAATTTTCTAGTTTTTTTTTTGCCTTTTAAATGTCTTTAGTCCTAATTCTAACTTTGTATAACCTTAGGTAGAGATTGATGATGTAAACTCTTCATATTTTGAGAATATTTATTTTAGAATAAATTTTAAAAATTACAAGTAAACTATGGAGCGTGATTAACAGGCCTACACATAATATCTGACATATAGCCCTGGTACAATAAATCATGAAGGTAAGCCTTAACATATATGTTTACCTTCACCTTTCCAATTAGGCTTAAGAGACTATTAAGGGTTTAACTTGTTTTCCAGTTTATAGCAAAGACTTGCCAGTTAGTTGTTTTGTTTCTTTCTCAACAATTCCTTTAGTCCCTAACCTTGAGTAAGCTCAAAGCTGAACTAAAGTAGCTTTGTTGGTTAGGGAATAAAAAATAAATAAAAAATAAATTGGCATAAAAGTAATATTAATAAAAATATAATTTAATTTGCGTATAGCACACTTCAAACATTATCTAAGCCCTTTACTAAAGGCAACATAAAGCTGTATAAGTTGAACAATGCAAAACAGAAATATTAAGAAATATTACAAGGCTGAAGTACCGTGTGAAAATTGAACAAACAATGCTATGAATCATGAAGTTACGTGTATGTATAAAAATAAAATAAAAACTACAATGAAAAAAATTACATTGGATTGAACTGATATAATAAAGTTATAGATGTGTTGAGCAAAATTGTATATTATAAAATTTAAAATTAAATTCCATAATTGAATTGTTTAGTGGCTATATCAGTTGTAACCCAATCTCATTTTTGGGACTTCATCTACTGTATCCATGGAGGAATAAATTAATTCCTCCATGGTCTATCTGTGTGATAGAATACGACGATCTTGTGTCACAACAACTTAGGACACACCAACATCTAGGCTGGGTGGCCTAAGGCTCTGTAGGTTACGGCACTTGCATCTTTTAGTCTCTAACTATTCTCTATTGCGAATCGTTTGCAATGGAGTGAGATCGTCATGGTTTAAAAATAGCGTACAGACGGAGGGCTGCAACTGGAGTAGCTCCTGTAGTACTGTACTGAATTTATTATTCCAATTCCAATGTTTTCTTAGTGCTACTTAGCAATTACAGATGCACTTAATTGACTGTAAGAATGATCAGCCAAGTAGAAAAAATTTTGGAAAATAACCATATACTAAATTGTTTCAATACTATTGTCTCCATTTTTTAATTCACACTAATTATATCATGTTATTCCTAATGATGCTTAAATAAAAGCGAAATGTAGAATAAAATCGCCTTAATATCTGAGTGTTGTTCCAGATTTTAACCCAGACACTAATATATATAACATACTATTCAATGTAAATTACTTAAACAGCATTATATTTATGAAATTTAACCACAGACTTCACCTACCTGATACTGACCTGACTGAGTAGAAATGGAGACTAATTATACAGGCAGCCTAAGGAAATATAACCCTAATAAACAATCCATGCATCATTGATTAGCTGTTTATCTCTCTCCTGCTATTGAAAAGCTAGCCCTGGCCTCTCTCCAGGAAAAAGCTACCCATAGTTAACAACATACACACATCAAAGGCAGCCTAACATAATACTGATTATTCCATCTAATCTTTCAATCAATGAAGATATTGATTAAGATAAACCTAGAGATGATTGGTGGTAATTACTGCATGTCAAGGCAAAACTATAAAGCTTTCACTGAGTTAATTATAAATAATTATCCTTTTGTAGTTTACCATACTGTATTTTTGTAACACCTCTACCAGTGGAAGAGGGAAATCAATCGCATTGTAATGCATGTAATGGGATACGTTAGCCAACTAATTTTTTAAAATAAAAATAAATGCTTTTAATTTTTTTTATATTTTATTTTTACAATTCCAGAGGAACTCAGAAAAAAAAAAACGTTTTCTTATTCAGTTTAGCCAATCGTTCTGACAAAAGCATCCGGACGGGAAGAAAATAAAAATAAAAAAATTATTGGTGAATGTAAACAAATAAATAATCAATTAAAAAAAATAGCTTTTCTAAAATTTCAAATTTTTCATGGTGGTGGGTGGGCTAACTGGCCAAAAATAAAATTTTATTTGTATTTGATTCATCATTATTTGTAGGCAGAGGGTTTGCCAATCAAGGTAAAAAAAAAAAATTGTCAATGACAGACCTGCCAACTCACCCGATCCTGTCGGGTGTCACCCGATATTTAAACAAACCTTCAGTTTAGATCGAATGTAATTTTCACCCGATTTCACAGGCCACCTCCCTCCCCAAAAAATTCCGATTTATGCATAATTTGATTGATTTCTTTGTTATTATTCAATTTATTCACCGCCTGCTTGCTTCGCGGTGCAATAAACAAGCAGCCATTTTCAATTCGAATGTTGCCACCAACAGCCAATGATTTGTAGTGACGCGAGTTTTTTTGGTATCTTGCATCAACTTTTGGTTGATTCTGGAAACCTCCAGATTTTTTGGTAAATCTCCAGATTTTTTTAAGATTCTTAAAAGAATCTCCAGATTTTCATGACCCAAGGGTTGGCAGGTCTGCAATTATTTTCAGATAGGGTTTAAATGAAGTACAGTATTACACATTATAATTCTTTTATACAGGACTTTAAAACACGAACATTAAACTAGATCAAACATAATTTGGTCATTTGTTAAAAAGTCTGGTCCCATGATTCTCAAGCAAAAAAAAAAAAAAAAAAATCTTAAAATGATTTCCTTTTTAATCGCAATTCTTTTACCAAAAAAATGGACCACAGTCTATTAATGTATACATTGTGAAGCATTTAATCTGTGGTTTTTTCAAATAAATAAACAGTTCTTTCATTGCAAATCCGACTAGAACAAAACTTTCAATATCACAATAAGAATTTTAATCCTGATTTGCTTGGAGACATAAAAGTATAAAGAGCGATGTTCTTTGTTGTCCAAGGTAAACATTAACTGTAAGCTCTTGATATATTGTTGGTGGGATTTTAAATGTTTTCTTCGTCACCCTGTCTCTCAAAGAGATCTCTTTCATGCGAAACAGTTCATGAAAATAAAGAATTTTACTAATTTCTTCGGAATTTTAGCTTAAACAATTGACAACACAATTATTCTTTTGTTTTGTCTTTGATGGTCACTTTTAATTGGCTGCTTAGTAGTGGTTCGGTAGACATCATTTGTCCTTTCATTTTTACTCATCATCAACACATATCTTTGTACATTTTTTTATTACTGTGTAAATTATAATTTCACTTGTTCCATCTTTAAAAATGTATTTGTTTTAATTTTCTTGATATATATTGCTTTATATCATTATGTGTACAATTCAATTTTGATGTTTAATTATTTTATTCTGAGAAAAACGCATTAACTCCAATGGGATTCGAACCCAAGACCTTCTGATTACCATTTGCTTTCTGTATCAACTAAGTTATGAGGCCAAGTTGGTATTATCATGATTTTCCTATTTTCAATATTTTTAACTTGAATATCATTTGAAACTATTAGAGAATTTTATAAAGTTTGTTATCAATATCATATACAGGTAATTGCTTAAGTACCTATATTGGGAGATTAGCTGTTTGTCTTATCATCTAGAGGTGTGAACGAGCTCTTCTGCATGTACTGTAGTTCAGTGCAGTACCAATGTTTATGTACAGTACCATAAACCATGGTACCAGTAGAGATGCAGGCTAATTGGTGATTTGACATTCTTGGCTTTACCAAAACCTGGTGTAAATTGTCAAATTCTCTTATGCATCTACACTTAAAGGATTGTCAATGTTAAGAGGAACACTTAAGGTAAGCAGATTTTTATTTTAATTTAAATGAAAGTTGAATAAATAATACTTCAAAACAATAATTTCAAAATATTAGTTTATGAGTTTCATATGTACTTGGGCGTTATCATTTATAATAAAGAAAAAGTACTGTAAATACAATAAAAGTTATCTTAAATGGCGTTCTCATTCCCTTACCTTATCTAACATTGAGTATAATTCTACGGCATCGTCAATTGTTACTCGCTTTCCTTCCAACCTTGTCATGAACCCACGAAGTTGATCCCGCAAATCGTGGCCCAACTTACGTATGTTGCCAGATTCACTTTGATTCATGTTGATGACTATATCCGATTCCTCCAACAAATCTTCACCTTTACTGGCTCTTTTCTAAAAATAATATCAGACAATAAACAAAATACTTGTTAACTGCGATATTATAATTATTCTCCTGATAAGGATTAAAGCAACTCAACTGAAATCCTCTAAAGGAACAAGAAACTTAAATCCTGAATCTAATGACAGTTTCCTTTACTATTACACTTTTCCATAAAATGTTTCCCCCCACCTTTGATGCAACTGCATGTAACGCTGAAATGAGATACATCATCATACGCTTTCCTCTTCCTGTGGTGAAATACTAACCGTCTCTAACTTCCAACTTCCAGGATATGTTAATCAGAGTTTAATAAATGCCTCATCCTAACGACCAACACTGAATATGCTACAGCCAAGGAGCATCTAAAATTTCCAATAAAACTCAGTGTCTTTTACATATGTCAGCTCTTTTTTTAAAACTGAGCGAGAAACTATGTTAATTTCTCTTCTATAAACCTAAAACTGTCAGCATTAATTAATTATTAAAAAAATCTAATAAAAATGTAATCCACCTACTATATTGGTTTTAACGTTTAACATAAATTTCATATAAAAATGATAAAATACTTAGGCCCAACTGGTACTAATATGTCATTTTTAAAGATTTTTTAAAAATAATCTATAATCAATATAAACTAACCAATTAACTGGCTTTTAATGTCATGTACTTATTGCTGTCCACATTCTTGATACAAAAGCTAGTACCAATCATAGCAACATTTGGTTTGAACCACAGTTTGGTTCTCATTAAAACACATGGAAAGTAATCCAATAATAACTATAATACTCCATGGTATTCATAAGTCCAGTGCTGTAATATAGCAGCAACTTAATATCCAAATATGGTAAAAGTTCCCGAGTCCAGAAATGTACTATGAAAGTACCAAAAAACCAGAGGAAGATCAACATCATAATGGTCAAGTTATATATCCAAAGTCCAGCACTGTGTATTATCAAAGTACCAGATCAGTGATGAGTATAAAGTCAATATCAAATGGTCAAGTTATATATCCAAATTCCAGATAATATCAAAGTGCTAGACCACAGTGATAGCAACTCAATATCAAATGGTCAAGTTATATATGTTAAGTCCAGCACTGTATTATCAAAGTACTAGAAAAAAAGACATAAGCAAGTCAACTTCATAATAGTCAAGTTATATATCCAGCACTATACAGTACTATCAAAGTACCAAATCATAATGAGGAACTCAATATCAAATGGTCAAGTTATATATGTTAAGTGAAGAACTATAATATCGAAGTACTAGGCCAAAGACATAAGCAAGCCAACACGATAACGGTCAAGTTATCATCACCGATGTCCAGTACTGCACTACAATAGTACCAGACTAAAGGCATAAGCAAGCCAACTGATAATTGAGTTTTAATTAACAAGTCCAGCATCAGGCAGATCAAAGGAATGGCGAATTCCATACTACCTTAAAATCAGGCTAAGTTTCACAAGTCCAGCACTATATACTACCAAATCAAGTCCAAAGGCATAAGTATATCCATAAAATAAGTGTTAAGTCTAACAACTCCAGCACTTAATGTTCAAAGCATGTGACCAAAAGTTGCCAAGTCCAGAAAAATATTTCCAAAAGTACAAGATGATTACTAAGTCCATAGCATTATTGCCAAGACCTACAGTAGAAGTCAAGCAGCTTCATATGACCAGTCTACAATATAAGAACTACAACTTATGTCTTCAGCTGAAGCAAGCAAATACATTTTGACTGGAAGAGACCCTAATAGGCATAGTCCTAGCCCTTGAAGTCGCTCATCTAAATAACTAATCAGCTAACAGTCACTACCATAAATAATTTACAAGACCAGTGACCGTCCAACTCACCTTATTGTGCTGCAGTCAAAAAATTATAAGTGAGTAGGTAATTCTCACTCAAATAAATTGTCTTGCACGACAAAAGAGTTACTTCAGAAGTTGTTGTGTTGATTGGTTTCTTATGCCAAGTTACCGATAGATAAATGTCTCTTACGATGACCAATTGATATCTGTTAAATTCAAGTGACCGCTTCATCTAATAACCCCTTGACCAGCTGACAAGTTAATACCAATAAGTGATTGATTATCGCTAAGACAATGGGAAATGTCCGCTGAATTGATCTGTCACGTCATACTTGCTTCAGCGGACGCTTTGAACCGAATCGAGGATGGTCCATCCCACTTTTAATACGTAACCACCATTTAAAAATCAGAAGATGTATACTTCTTTAGAATATATTGCATGTTAAATTGGTCATTCAAGCATACTGAAACGATAAACTGCATTGTTCATCCGCAGTAAATGGAAAATGGTGACCACCCGTGTGCCGAAATTTATCCACCAATTAAAGAAACCAGGGCATAGAACATCACCACTTTGGTGATGATCATTCGAGCTATCAATCAAAGTATTCAAGGATCGTGAACAATGTTTAACGGATTTGTTGAAATTAATATGGACTTAGGATACACTGTCCGGTAAATCTCTGTTTATTCATTCAAGGACTCTTGACCATCCCACTACAATCCAACACAGAGTGTATCTTAATCCCTGACAAGAGCCAGCCTCTTTGAAACCCCGATCAAGTCACGGAAGTTTGGTCAGAGACAAGAGACATTCCTGAACATCTTTCAAACTCCTCATTAATTATCTTTCATGTATTGTCTTTGCGGTTTATCAATAAAAGGCTACAAATCTGCAGCTTTTTGCCTAGAATTTCAACGTCATCATGCGGAACTCATCTTTAATCCCACAGGAGACAGTAACATACCTTATGTCCACAAAGTTTATTGCCGACAAAGGCGACAAAGAATGGTATATAATATATCAGCATTATCTAGTTGACTGGAACTTCAGGATTATAATTTGCCAACAAAAACAACCCTTGCAAAAATGCCTTCTGTGTTTTCACAGATAGCTAGCAAATTGACAGAACTCATCGGACCATGTAGTCAAATTGTCCCAGCGATAATTAAGGTTAATGATACTAAATAGAAGTCTTAAGAGAATCCAATTGAAGCAAATTTAAGCATTGTTTAGTGAGACTAAGCTAACCAAATTAAACCCACTGAGCAAACACCAATTATCTAGTAAAATGATACAAAAAGATCTGCAGAGATTTCTTTCAAACTTTAAACTTTTCAATCTTTTATTTGTGGTGGAATTTGAAAATTCTAAAATAACATTAAATATACTTTTAACTTGTTTAATGAAAAAATTTAGTTTGTTTATGAATTTATATATACCCTACTTTTATAAATTATGATATTAAATATAGATTTCTGTCAGCTTTGTCTATGATTGTCACTATTTCAAACATGGATATAGAGAGCTTTGGGACATTCAGTGAAATGTGATTTTTACCATATTTTCTTTTCTCAAGTCATTTTATTACTTGAATAAATAATAATAATAATAATAACAATAATAATAATAATAATAATAATAATAATATTATCAAATATTAAATACAGAAATAATTGTTATTTCTTTCCTGGGAATTTACCATTCTTTAATGAAACAACAAAATAATCCTTGATACAACCTAACTTTTTTGAACAACATAACACTTATTAGAAGAGGATAAAAATGAGCCCATGCCGGTAAATCAAGGTTAACAGATGTCCAGCATCCAGTTCCTTTGATTGGTCAACCATCTAACGAAGCAGAACCGGATTCTAAGGTTGTACAACTCTGCATGTGCTGTGACCTTACGTTTTGTTTCTGTAAATGATGATCTGTGACGGTTTATTAGAAACTAAGTTCACTGTTGAAATGTAACAGAAACGTAAGAAACAGGTCAATTGGTCACAGAGTACAGCCGATGACGTAGCAGGATTTATACTATGCATTGTTCAAGACTCATTTTACTTGGTTCTTTTGGAAAGTTTTTTAGATCACTAATGTTCAATTGATAGTATAACAAGTTTACATAAATGAAAAATTAGGAAATTAAATACATATTACATGCGTGATAACATTATAAAACCACTAAATTTAGAAAATAGATTCATTACATAATTTATTTATTAAACTTAATATTATATTTAAATAAACAATATCCTTAGAAATTAGTATCAAATTTAATTAGTATTGTTCGTCTTTTTAAAATAAATAAATAAAAATGTTGTTATTCAAAGTTTATGTTTTATTTTTTAGTGTGAATGATGTTAGTCTTTATGTTGGTAAATAACAATTAGTTTAATAATGAAACTATTATAATTTAATAAATTAATTGATTATTAACATGGTTTGGTTCATTAACAGTTATTTTATACAATAATTACAAACATCTCAATAAAGTTAAAACTACTAACTGCTGATGTTTTTTTTTCTTTTTATGTTTCTTGTTAAAGTAGACATTCCTCTTGGTTTTGTTCCTTTTGAATTTAGGATTAAAAAGTCTGTCTAATTATCAGCGGGTAACGAAAGTAATGAAAAGAGCTCAATGATGTGTAACCATGTTCCTTTTTGTCCACTTTCAAAGTCAAACCAATTTCTCACTATTCTAGTTTTGTCTACTCATCAGGAACCCCCAAGGTTGAGGGAATCCCTCATTAAAGGCTTTTTGACTCCTCTGTAATTCTTAAATTAGACCCACTCTTTTGTGTCCGCTTTTATTTTATATTTTAATCACCGGTTTTTTTTTTCTCAGCGTCATCCAATCAGATCACTTGGTCAAGTATTGCCGGGGTCATATGCATTGTTAACCATCCAAATCGCTTTCACGCTGTCATTTCCTTTTGAAGGTATAGTCTATTTTTTCCCATAGCGATAAAAAGGAATTAAATTCCACTACTGGAACCGGCAATTTATACGTCAAACAATTCATCTATCGGAACTCTCCTTGAACTGGTAACGTATGCTTCAGGATGCATGAACAGTCACGGCACGATTATATCTAGTACATCCCCTAAATTATATTTTTGTAATGGCTAACTTTGTGGTTGAAACAATTAAATTCAAAACTAATGAGCCTTTAAATAAGTCTCTAACAGTAGT